ATTTTAATTGGATTTTTCTTTTTTTTTTTTAAAAAAAAAAACAAATTTATAATTTGATAATGAAAACCATTAGCATTTTCAAGCGTTGCTGGATTGGGAGATGGCTGCTTTTTGTTTGCCAGTTCAAGTATCCCTCTGGAAACAGAGCTGCAACGTTTGAATTGTAATTCTAGTTGGCAGCAAAAAACTGGTCACCATGTCAGAACTGTTCTGACACAGTAAATGGCTGAAGTAATGACAGGAGGAAATCTGCAGGGAAGTAGTTCTTTTTTTTTTCCAGAAAAGTTGGCTCAGCTTGCATCAGTGGGGTCCCATGGGGTGCCATGACCACCATCCCCATCTTTCAGTAAAGTAACAAGCTACCTCCGGTGACAAACACTTACCCATCGCTGCTGCATCAGTTCTGGATGACTGATGTATGAGCTGCTTCTGCCACCGGTAAAAGTTCATTATTTGTCAGCTCAAGAGTCTGTCCTTTGCTAATGGATTACTTTTGAAATGTCTGCTGTAAGGGGAAGGTTTTATTTATTTACTTACTTTTTCTAAAAACATGTACAAGCAACACACTTGGGCTCTGGCTTCTTGTAGCAGCATCCCTAATTTCAGAGACCTTCTCATTGTTTCCCAAGACTCCACAGGAAAAAGGGATGAGGGTGCCAGTGCCCAGTCTGCATGGCCAAGTTCTCTTTTTTCCTCCCTCAAAGACACTCTCAGGCATGGGAAGAGACATGTGCCAGGCTTTCCAAGAAACGATACTTAATCCACAGACTAGGGCATCCACTGGATGAGGCATCACTGCCCTACCACAGGTCTCCTGTGGCCGAAGTGACAATTTTGTCCTTGTTTTCAGGTCTCAGTAGGAGATTAATACCCCTTATTCCTGTCACAGGCGCTGTGAAGAGCAACAGAATCACATGCTCGAGGCACTCAGGTATGACTGCATTGTAAGTCACAGGTATATCATTTAGACCCTTATTCATGAAAGATTTGGGAATCCTTTTAAGGAATGCAGTGAGGATTTTGACAAAGGGAAATATACCTAGTTAGTGAGGGTTTGAGTGTGATTTGATGCTTCCTTCGTTATCTGTAGCAAACAGGTGAAGAAAAGGGACTCTGAGGTAAACCTGCTCCTGATGCATGGGGAAAGCTGAGTGACTGGAGCATGTAACCTGTTTAATCTTAGGACTCCAGAAAGAATCTGTGAAATTTGAGGGTACCTGAGAAAACAGGCATGGAAACAAAACATCCAGGCGAGAAGATAGTTGTTAGGTGCATCCAGGCAGATGAGAGATCCAATTCCCTGCTCCACCTACCATAGTGCTATGGCATTTTTTTTCACTAGTGCAATAAGTAAATGCAAGTTCATTATGCAGCCACCAGTTTATTTTGCAGCTGCTTTCCAAGTTATTCACCGTATTTGCTTAACTATAAATGAAGGAACAGACAGCAGAATTCAGAACGCCTGTTGCCGGACACCATGGCTTACTGGCCAAGAATAATTAGCAGCAAGCAATGATGGGACATGTCACATTGCCTTTCTGAGCCTATTTGCAGTAAGATGTCAGTCATTTCAAGAGCTAAACATTAAGGCTTGCAGGCAAGAGAAGACAGCAGAGCGCTTTCCAACTGCAAGTTTTCACTACACTTCAAGGAACAAAACAGGAACCACTTTCTGGTTATTATTCCCCATTTAGGCAAAACTATTTCAAATGCTCAATGACAAATATATAACCGGGGGCAAGGAGGGAGAGGGGAGAAGCAGGGTGGGATGTGTGAGTCACAAATCTCTACCACATCATCATCCCCACCAAAGACAACGCACAATGACACAATATAGATGATCAACTCCCTCAGCTCTTTTAGGGCTTTATAAACTTGCACCAAACAGAAACTTTATACAAGTGAACCGCTTACTTCATTTAAACATGTAGCCTGTATAATCAGAGTCTTTGAAGTAGGGAGACAGATGATCAGGATTTGCCTCTTGATCTTTCCAAATTGTTTTAGCAAGTAACAACTATGCCTGAAGTCTTTTCTGGAAATTTTTATTAGCAATAGTGTTTACAACAGTCTTAGAGACCAAGGTTCTCTTAGTATCGCTGTTAAATAATCTTACAGAAACTGAAATCTTACAAAGCAAACTTAGGCTCTGCAAATAACGCTGATGAATTTTATGTAAATTCACTTAAAATTCCTAATCAAATGAGCTACGATTCTATTCAATGCTCTGTACATATGCACATTTTTGAAAATAAAAAATAAAAAAATAATGTGTTTTCACAGGATCTGCTGGATCCACACAGATCTCAGTCTTTTCTTCGTTCATTGACTTATACCCAAATAAAATCAATAAATCTTGCATGAGAACCTCTGGATCAGAACACATCAGGCCCTGGAGCGATCCAAAAAGGACTTTACATTATCAGTAAGCCAGAGGTATGTTCACATTTCCAAAAATAGCAGCCAAAGTTGCCTAGTTATATACTACAGCTGTTCCACTGAGTAACATCAACTTAGTAATAATTTTCCCCCAAATTTAATGCAACTTAAACAACTTTCTCTACTTAGTGCGTGTTATAAAGGACTGTGCTCATATTACACATTCTATGCATCTCCTTGAATTAGCAGAAACATTGACAGCCCCTGTTTTTAGACAGTACATACACAGAAAGACACTGCAGTTTTGACACAGACAAAGGAAACGTGAATTTCTTTATCTTTTATTTTGTTTTCTGCCCTCAAGACAAGGAAAACAAAATTTCTTCAGGCAATCTTCCTAGCCCATGCTTATACAGTGAAAAAAGGGAAAATAGCCCACTTGTGAAAAAATGGTTATCATCTACTTTTTATCGAGGAAGACCTAAAATTCATTAACTGTAGTAATGGAATGCAGAAATCATTTTCGTTTGTTTTCAAGCAATTTCTGGGTCAAAGAAAAGAAAACAGTTCTGGTTTCCTTCCCCCAAACAACATATCTGATAAACTCAATCTATTTTTATGCAAGTGTTTATGAATAAGCTCACAGTCTTCTTACAACTGAAAAGTGAAATGATGTATAGGAAGAATGAAAGTAACGTTAAACCATGAGCGAACAATTCCACTGGGGTATACTAGTGATATCAGATACGATGAGAGAAATTTGCGAAGCAACCATACACCTGAAAATGAAGTCACTGCATGTTCTACTTGTTAAACACATGATTCTGGTCACAGTTAAGAGGGAAAAATAAAATAACAGTGTACACAATTACCCTTAGCCCCCTACCAATGCACCAGTTCAACTTACTGCTAGAAGCAGATGGGCAATTCTACAAAAGAATTGGAAATACAAAAGACTTGAGGGCAGGGGAGTTGCTGCTGCTTGCTTTTCAAGCCTGCTGCTGTTCAGAGGCATTTCAGCTTTTTATTTACAGACTGAAGCTATAAGGAGTTACAATCACTTCTCGAAAGTCACAGAACAGCAGCATCCAGCAGAGATCAGCTCCTTGCCTTTATCTTGTTTTTTATCCCCTCCTTTATGTTTTAATGGTTTATTATCACTCCCTAAATTACAGAATGTGTTTGGTAGGGTCCCGTCCCCGCCCCCCCCTCATCCTCTGAAATGGATTTAGAGCATCAATCCATTAAGAAAAGGCAATCATAGAAGCTGAAAGAAGTGAGGTAGTGCTGTGGGGTCAAGTTTTTTAAAAAAACACATTTAAGTGCATCTCACATTGCATGTGTACAAAAATGTGCTTATGAAAATACACATATTGATTAGCTCAGAAGTGAAACTTTGGGAAGACATTTGGGTAGTCTGAATTTTTCAGCTACACTTGTGTCTACTTTGGCACCTGCAGTAAAGTGCTTTCATGGATGCCCATCACACACTTACAGAAAGGTGCTTCAGACAACCGCTGAGTGTAGTGTGGCCATTGGGCAAAAGTTTTCTTTCAGGAGTCTGTATGAATTCTTTGGGCCAGACTCATGCATCCATGCTCACGAAGCTGCTTGGTATCTTATCACACACATCTGTGTTACTTACGTCAGATAAAGACACATAAATAACTCACCAAAAAGGATCTGAAGCAGGAAGAAAATATGCAGTTAAGGAAAATAAAAGTTGTATCTGTTTCACTTACCAGAAAAGACAGAGAAATGACTACACAATATGCACTAAGAGACTGGTTTAACTCAGAAATCAGCATAACGAAAATGAATGGCTCGAAGCAGGCAAATTAAAAGTACGAACACCTACAATGAAGCTGGTAGTCAGTGGGGGAAAAAACACCAAAAGACACAGTGGATGTTCCACTTTCGGTAACATTCAGAACTTTTACAGAAGAAACATCTGTCTGTAATACAAGACACCAAAAATCAAGAAAACTGGGTGACTTAAAACTGTACACCACCTTTGAACTATACCTTGGGGAGAAATTCTGCCCTCCTCTGGATACAACCAGTTTTCAACGAACCTAACCGGAAGAACACCTGTATGGAGTTTCTAATACACCATTTGAATATTATGGTCACACTGGTATGTTCTGGACAAAGAAATCCATTGAAGTAGACATCAGTTTGATAGCACAAGAAGTTGAGAATGAAACTAAACTTGTAAATGTAAACTCAGTACATTCTCCAGGAAAAAAAGTTGTCGTTCTCTTGCTTCATAATTATGTTTGTTTTCTTAGAGTTTTATAATACTGATTTAAAGACAAAAAGCCCCAACCCTCCACAAACACCTGTTTCACACTCCAGATGTGGAATCCACTGTTTAAAACAGAGTAACTTCTTTGCTTAAATTACTGTACCAGTTTCTGTAAAAGGACCGGAAGTTTATGGCTCCGGTATAACAGAGTCAAGAAGTACATTTAGCTGCAAAACTTACGATAGGTACATGCTTAAGTGGTCTGCTGAATTAGTTTCTCATAACACTTTCCTCCTCCACAGCAGAGTTCATGTAATAACTTTGCTAGTCACTGACAAAACAGCATTTGGACATAGGAGACAATTGTTAAACAGCGTTTCCTCCTACAAGCTTTTGAAATGAATACTTTATTACTTCATACAAGACAATAAAAATAATAAAAATAATCCCACAACTTTTCATAAAAATTAAAAGGATTTAAAACCAGATCTTATTAAAAAACCAAACAAACTTTGCATTTAAAACCAAAGAAATACAATATATACACGCACTTTTTTAAGAAGAGATAATGATTTTCTATTTCATATCAACAGGCACCCTTCATTCATCATCTGCAAGAAATTAGGTTAGGTCTCTGTAGGCCACAGTCAGTTATTAAGTAAATATACCACTGCTTCTGTGCCCTCCTTTTATTTCCTTGCTTCTTCAGTCTCATCTGGCTCTCTCTCTTGATGCTCTTTTTCCCACCTTAGTTCTTTTAACTCTTGTCTGTACTTCCGTTCAATGAACCGTTTCTGATGGGCCATCTGGGGAAAGTTATCTGACATACGAAGAAATATTTTACATTAATAAACAAAAACTGGTAACAGAAAGCCTCAGCTCTTTTTTTTTAAAGTTTGATGAGATTAGGCATAGGGGGGGGAATAATGTTATTACCATTTTTACTCATTTATTTTTAATAATTCATAGTAAACCAGGGCTGTGTGTTGTAAGACTTCAGTTTCTTTATGATTTCCACATCTGTTTCTCCTGCTAACAAAGCACTGCCAAATCTAATACACTCAACAAAAATAAATATAAAATCCTGGTATAGCAACAGGGCCAGGTATTACCTGGATTTTACATTCTGTTCCCTTAGCAACAGGTGGTCAATACTGAAAAATTAATGTGAGACTACTGTCAATGCTGTCACGGTTTTTTGTCTTGTTCTCACTCTGAAAAGTATGAGCCACTTGTTCCAAGCATTATACAAATGTTTCCATTATTATTATTATTTTAGACCACGTAGAATCCACTAGATGTCCCACATTATGGCAGGGTTCCTAATGAGAAAGTAATAGTGTAGCAAAATGGAATGCAGTAAATCTGTTCCTGAAAAAGTTAATGCTTGGCTATGTACCAGAATACAGCCTTAGTGTAGTCTTCAGAGCATGGATGAGTAAAGACTGGCCAACACAGACTAGACAAGGCTGAGGCGATGGAGAAACAGCTAGAGAGACGGATGCTTCTGATTTCAGACGTTTGTCCATTGGCTGGTACGTATGTACACTAGTTAGAACTGAGGCTGTAAAACCAGCTTATATAATTGATCAGAATTGCTCTCAATTTAGTGCACTGCTGACGGAGCATGACATTTTCTGCATGATCAGGGTGCTGACATTCCTCTGTGTCTGTGCTGCAGAGACCTGCCCCCTCCAGCTGGTCAGAAAATGAAGACATGGTAGAGTACGTGGCAGTCTGCAGTTGGTGGTAAATCCTGCTGGGATCACACAGAGCTTTAGCATCAGCACTGGCTAACTATCTGTGTCTGAGATGAATACAAAAAGTTACTACACTGACTTTGAAAGCCACAAACAAATCTGGAAGATGTCTTGGCAAAGGACTGCTCCCTCTCTAGTTGGCTACCAAGAGAGAATTCAATTGAGGCTCCTCAGGGAGGAGTCCCTTGACACCAAGCGTCTTCCTCTGCTTTCTGGGTCCCAGGCAGCACAGATTTGTTCAGCTAGAGAACATGGTGCAGAAGGCACATAATCTGCAGGAGTTTGTGGTAGAGCAGAATGACTTTCTAACTGCTTTGTTTTATTGGCTGGTGAAATTTGTGCCATTTATTATACACTACAGGAATAAAAGGTTTATTCATCAGTTATTTACAACTCGGGCATAGGAGGGTGTATTTATTTAAACCAGAAAGCAATCTAAAGAAAAGCAAATTGTTTTTAAATTGCTGCCGCTTTTAAAAACACTAGTCCTTTGTTTAATGGAGTTCTGGGATATTTTGTTGTTCATGTGCACCATAAAATGAAAATTGGATTTTCAGCACTGTGCCTGTAACATGACTCTTTAAGAACTCTGAAGAACTCAGCTCAGTAGCAACCTGTTTGTTTATAATCCATTTAAGATGTTGAGAAGGAAATTTACATAATTCATCATGGCTATGATATATAAACAGGTACATGAAAATTACTTTTACTTGAAGTCAACTATTTATGCATCAAAAAGCCAACAACAACAAACTCCACTCCACAAGTGTGTACATAGTAGAACAGGTGCCCATAGGGGCTGTGGAGCCTCCATTCCTAAAGACAGTCAAAACTTGACTGGCAAGGCACTGAGATACATGACCTAACTTGAAAGCTGGCTCTGTTTTCAGGGGCAGTTGGAGTAGAGACCTCTAGAGGTCTATGGTAGTCAAACAAATACATATGTCAGAAAAGAGCTGTGAAGTCCTTGGACTGGTAAGAGATGAAGCTCACAGTTCTCTGCGTGGTGATACTGTCACAAGAAAAAACACTCAAAGGAAACTTCAGTAACATTTTGCAGATATTCAGCAGAGAAGGGAAGTTACATTTTTCTACTTGTCAAATTTACTGGTGGTGAAAAGTACACAGCTAGCAGATGGATATAAAAAAATTCTGAATTACAGGGATTCATTGTCTTCCAAAATTTTTAAGCCCTGGGATTTCCAGATGCAGAGATAACAGTTTAAAAACCTTTGGCATCTGAGGACCTACATGTCTTTCCTTTGAACAACAACAACAAAAAAATACCTCCTCACGTTGTTCTGAATAGAGAGCTTCTGCTTCACAAAATGCCTGTAATCTATTTGCTTACAGTACGTCCACACCTGAGACTCCATTGCAATGAAGGACAGCTCCCATGCTGGCTATCCTGTGCATAATTTTGAGAAATGCACAGAGATGACTGGGCCCTCAGCTGATATAGGATGTTCTTAACAGATAAATATTAACTTACATTGGCTGGGGATCTGCTTGTTAGATTTTAACCTAGTCTACTGCATAATCCGAGATCTAATTTTATTTTCTAAATTGGCAACTGAAAACTAATTTTCCTCCTCCTCTAAATTAGAAGATGAGACAACCACACTGTCAGAGACTAAGCAGTCTTATCCCATTGTATATTTAATCATGGAAAATCTCAATGAGACTTCACTGCACAGGGTTCCCTGTAAGTTGCAACCTTTGTCACTGATCAACTCCCTTTAAAATATACCTGTTGGTATCACATTAACTTCATCTGTTACAAAATCATCTTGAAAGTACTAAAAGGAAAACCTGCTGCTCAGCAGCTGACAGCATTCAGCATTATGTTCTGTTCAAATCTTACTCCCCACAAAAGCTGCACTTCACTAAAGACCAAGGATGTAAACTATAGATTTTCTCTGTTGTCCAAATATCTTACATTTTTCAAGTGCGTCCATTGCAGCTCCCATTTCCGCTTGCTGAATACTGTAAAAGCCAAATAAAAACATGTTACATGAGACCTAAGTTGTACAGAATAAAGTTTCTGACAAAGTGGAACACTAGATATTCTTTTGTCATAAAACTCTTTGGATAACCAGTATCTAGTAATTCCCAGATTGTGTGATCTATCAGCCTTTCCAGAAATATGTGAGCAATAGCACTACAACTCCAGTAGAATATTTTTAAATTTAGATCAATAACACTAACAGAATATTCTAGTCCATTCTTCACTGAAACATTTTCTTTTACTTGACAGAAAAAAAAGGAACAAAATCATAGAGGTGTGAACACTATAAAACCAATGATATTTTTTAACCACCACCAGATTTGGTAGCAGAAAATAAGATGAGGTCTTTGGGGTTCACGGTTGAAGTCTTTACAACTTCAGGAACCATTCTAAAATATCTAGAAGTAATGACATTGGGGAAAAAAAAGAAAAAAAAAAAAGAGAGCCTTGCACCCTTAACTTGCCAGTGTAAATTGGACAGTAATCCAGTAGCAAAGCCAAAGATAAAGTCACCGTTTCCTGGAAGCTGTTCTGCAGTTTCTAGTCTGAGAACCACAAACTGGTTAGCATTGCTAGCCATCTTGAAGGTAAGTTTATAAAAAAAGCTTAAGACCAAAAACTATACAGACATTGAACCCTTCAGGTACTCCTAAGGCAGAAACTCAGAATACCTTGAAGAAGGTTCTATAGCTTTCCTTTTCTAAGGCCAACCACACACTTGTCTATCTCCACGGCTAGTCATTTTGGGCACTGCCACACTCAAACTTTAATACCATGTGATTAATTTTTCACTATACCTTGGACCTTTACCACATCCTATTCTTTCCCCTTTGAAGTAAACAGCTACTGTGTATGTCCTGGCATGAGATGGTCCCACTGTCTGCAAAGTCCTGAAATAAGAAAGGTATGATTTATTCAAGCAGGAAGTATTAAAAACCAGAATCTGTGGTACATACATCACCAAGCTTTCAGTCTGGTCGATACATATAGTGGAATTAGCGCAAAGCATGGAGCAAGGGTTGAAAGATGCTTGTATAAATCACATTAACCCAGAGATTACCAGTATGGTGCACAATAAAAAGGAGAAATTTACATTAAATGCACCTTGTTTATATTGGTTATATTTATGCCTTGAGGTTCATTCAGGAGCACCATATGAAAATTAAAACTTTAACCTATAAACAAAAATGCAAACTATAACACAAAGTGCTTAAACACTGTGAAAACACTTGTAATAAAGTCATATAAACTGTGTGTACCTGTGCAACTGCAAATAATCACACCAATATGAACACTAGAATTTTAGTCCCTGAGAATTGTGCAGTTAGCAAGGACTTTATATTGGACATGGTACCTCTCTACTGTGAATTATCACAGTACAAAGAAATTTTCCATCAGCTTTGAAAAGTTAGTTTGTCACGAAACAAACTTTCCATTTGAGCTAAAGTCTAGGACATGCATCGACAACCATCTAAAGGGGGAAAAAAGATAATTCCCCAGACATGCAATGAATTGCTGCTTCTGCTGTTTCTTCCTGCTGTCCCAAATCTTCCCCACTGTCAGCTCGAGTTCTGTTCACTACCTTGTTTCTTTTTGGAAGAAGCACCAATTTCACATCAATTTTCAAAGTATCTAACTAAAGTACTCTGTCTCCGTGCACTGTGACAAGAGCAAATAAAACCCACCCCAAATTTAAAAGCAATAGTACTGACTGCAGTGAAACAGATAACGCAAAGAAAAGGAATTTAACAAGATAATAGGAAGATAACAGCATTTTGCTAGCTCTAAGCTGTACTATAAAAATCAATTTATCATCACAGCAAAACAAAACAAACATTTGGTACTTGATACCCAGTGGGTTTTACAAGAATCAGGAATTGTTTCTTTTGTATTCATCTCCCTCACTCAAGACAAAGCTGTGAGCCCTCATACAGAGACACTGAAGAGTCAGATTTGCAGAACATCAGTTGCTGTGTTAAAGCGATCATACTTCTGAAGTGCGCTGTTTGTCACTGTAACTGAACTGCTACATTTCATTGAAAACTTTACTTCAGTAAATGTGACAAATGCACTTAGACTTTCATTCTTCATACTTTTTCAATATAATAATCCCAACAATACATGCCTTGAACTTTCATAGCCTTTATCTCTTCTTTCGGGCACTAACATTGCACCCATTCCTACATCAATTAAATGGATATGGATGCAATATACAATCTTAAGTTTATTATTACCTCTTTGAAGCAGCTATTACGCTATTTTACAACTGAGAGAAGGGAGATCCATCCCATCCAGCTTCAGGTATCTGAGGTGTACAAGTTAAGAGGTTCATTACCCTGAACCTCTTCTATCACTAAACAGGAGGACATACATGGGCTGAACTGCACAGTGAAAGTGTCCAAAACTTGTGTTGCCCTTCAGTGCCTGACTCTGTGGATTAGAAACAGACCCTACAATCAGCATGTGTAACACCAGACATTTATTATATTTGCATAATAATGTAGACTGTAGAGAAACTTCACACTACTACTGAAAATAAAAAGATTTCTTGACTTCATACCCAAACAGACATTGTTACATCAATTTCATTTAAAATACTGCTATTTCTTATGTATAAAGAACAACAAATACAGAATGATGCCAGTGAAATACACCATTTGAATGTAAAGATTATATTTTCCCTTGCAACTGTACAAGGGAAGATGATTACTAGTTCTTCCTTCTAAAGGCTTAGAACACCTAAAGCTTGGACAACATTGGTTCAACATTTTCCATCTTCAGACAAAGAGAGACTTGAGGGCTTGGATAACTACAATAAAATAACCTATGGGAAAAACGTAGGGTGACTGATCACATCTTACTCCATACGCAAGAAAGACCAATAATTAGCTCGTATGCATAAGATGCGAGTTCTTACTTGTAAAGAGGAATGTCTGGCTCTTTTCCTTCTGTCCTGAGAGTCAAGCAGCACTGCTGAAGCTGAGATTTAGGATCATTCCAATCTTGATTTAAAATAAACTCCTGTAAGAAGTTCAAACATACTTTTATTATTGAGAGATTGTAGTAGGAATCCCAAACGCAGTAACATGTTAAAACATAGTGGCAGGAAAGTAGGAACCCGACTGATCTTACCTTTAGCCGTGGAAAGAAGCACACGTTCATAAAAGTGTGAACGTATTCCAAATCTTTATCAATGTACAAGGCAGCAATAAAGGCTAGGGAAAAAAAAAGGTACTGTCACTCATCCAAGAAGAATGTTAATGGCTTGCAATTTTAGAAGCAAGTATCTCTGAGTACTCTAAAGCCATATTCAATTACCTTTCACAGCAGTGATCTGATGAGGGTATTATTATCCTGCATACACAGGAAAAAATAAAGTTGACCAAGAGATTAAGTGACTTAACCAAATCCACTCAGTCATTTAAAGAGTTAGAAACAACACTCAGCTGCTAATCTCCCATTTTAACCAGGAGACCACAGATACTTACAAATAAATCACTACTGGGTACCATAAAAAATTTTAGATATAAATCACTCCTGTTTGTGTGTTATTTCATTTGTTTTGAGGGTTTGGCAAAAGCCAGGGGGTTTGAACAGTTCACAAAAAATATCAAAATATACAAGATATGTGACGTGGTTCAGCCCCAGCCCCAGCTGAGCACCACATGGCCACTTGCTCACCCCTGCCCTGGCAGGATGGGGAGGAGAACAGAAAAACAACGGCAAAGCCCCAGGGATGGGGTAAGGGCGGGTTACTGGGACAGCAAGGGAGAAGGGAACAATCAGCAACAGTACTGGTAACAGATATTCACAATGGGTGATAACAGAAAGTGATTTACCTACCAGCTGGACGCTCAGCCCATCCCAGAGCCACCACTGAACCCGCCCCTCCCCGCCTGGCCCCCTTTTATGGGGAGCATGACGTCACATGGTATGCAATAGCCCCCTGGCCAGTTTGGCTCACCTGTCCTGGCTCCTTGGGAAATTAACTCTATCCTAGCCAGAACCAGGACAATATGGATTAACTTTCTTTGCAGAATACTTATCAGTTTCCACTTTCTTTGGAAAAAAGCTAGCAAAAACTTCCATAAACAGACTAAAAATAATTTAATTTCTGTATAGCTTTCCCTCTTGTGGAATGACCATTTTGAAAGCTCCTAAAATGCAGTCAAATGAATAACAGAAATTGTCACCTACTGAAGGAACTACTTTTTCTTCCAACAGTGACAAGAATATATTAATGAAACATTGAAACTGCTGTTAAATCGCTCAACATGGATTACAAGCTTTAACTTTCTAGACATGCTTTCTAGACCTGGTCATCATGACCCCTCAATTTCTAAGCCTAAAACTTTGTATCTGCAATTACACTTCCTTTATGCTGTCACAGAGATTTCAAAAATCTAGGGTAGTGTTCAAAAATCTGGCTGTCAGAGGTATAGGCATAATTCATTTGAAAACCTGAACATACATTTTAATAGTGACTTGGGGGATTTCTAATGGCTTTCTTAAAGAAGCCTTGAGGAAAAAAAAAAGTTGCACAAGTACTAAGCCATTATGACCAAATTAACTCACATTCCAAGAGATCAGCCAAAGTCTTAGTTCGAAGAGTTACAGGTCTTTTTGTCTTGTCATTAGTGATGGCAAATTCTTGCATACCCAACTCTTCTGCCACCTTGGCTTGTGTCCTGTTGTTCACCAAAGAACTTCTTAACAGCTGCAATAGAAAGAAGTTCTACTCAATGGTGACAATTAGCAATGCCAAATTATAAAAGTTAGGGAGAGCTGGGGAAAAAAATGTTACTTTTATCCTTGTAGCTTCTCACTTCTCTCAGTTTTGTTTCAGCACACCTCAAATGATTTACATAAACACACTTGTTATTTCTACTGCTGATTTTCCCTTCTGTTTCTATTCTCACTAAATGTTATTTATTCTAAGGACACATTACTTCTGTAGATGTCTTACATTTAAAATGCTTGTTTGTGAGCTTCTTTGCAATCATATACCATCTCTTCATCAGTCCTGTACTTTTTCAGCTAATCTGCATTTTTCTAGTTTAAGTAACACGCAGTTATATACATTTTTCCACATAAAGTGTAAACATATAATATTCTGGAGTCTATAGAGCGGTCCCCAGTGTCCACCAAATAAGAAATAAATAGGCAGTAATTAAAACAAATGCACATTAAAGCAAGAGAGTCTAGAACAAGCAGATGAGGAAGCTGTTCCATTCATTTGGCCAGAGAGGAAAATGCATTGCTGGACAGCTTGTGCGTACTGTTTGCTCTGCTGAAGGCAGTGTAGCTGAGCCGATGCATCCCTGACAAAGATCTGGCTCTAATATTTTCAATGTATGACAATGTCCAGGACAGCTGGTTTTGCAGCAGAGTTCCCTGAAGTGCTTAATGCTGGCTCCGGGCAGATTGTTTAAACAAACATAGAGCTCTGCCAAAGATATAATCCCATACAGCTTAGAGGAGTATTTTGGAATTTTAGGGTTTCATACAATTTTCTGAACCCCTGGTTAAGGTATGCTGTTTTCCAGTTGGTTTGCTTTTTTTGCTTTAAATGAACCAGCATTAATTTAAGAATTTAGGGATATTATGGGAGGTGAGGGTTGGAGTGAAAGAATGTAATCTAGAGTTGAGAAGCTGCATACACAGTTTTTCTCTCTTTGTCTTCCATGTCACATTTGCTCAGCTTATTAGATCCAAGTTATATGCTACCTGGCTCCAGGATGTCAACTGAGCTCATGAAAATCAAGATTTATTTGCTGCACTTGATACTTCATCTCTGACAACAGACAAATAAAGAACAGTATGTTCATAATTTGTTTGGCAATGATGTATGAAGCAGATACTCACAACTTGATCTTCATAAACTAGGCAGACTGCAGATACGATTATTACCTGTCTCCCTAACCTCCGCTTAAACTCATCTTCTACTTGTTCTTTTCCAAAATTCTTCCCTTTTATTTCCTTAAGATAAATAAACAATACTTTCCCCAACAAAATCCTAAGTATGATATGCAACCTATGTGATGGAAGTGCAGTAGCACGTGACCAAAATCTGTTTCTTGTAGCGAAAGAAGAAAGATCTCTTTTGCTGTGTTTGCAGAGTATTTGGTTGGCTACCAACTTGCTTCATACTAGAATTTGCCTCCTCTACAAGTGTGATCTAGCAAAAAACTCAATTCCCCTTAATGATATGGGGAACACATGGTACCTCTACCTTCCCAGTAACTTTTTTAGAGCTAGTCTTTACTCTGGCAACACACTGCCTGCATCATTGCAGATGCTGTAACGTGTTATGGATGCTTAACAGGAGCTTAACTCTAATTACAAAGCAACTTTTTTTTTATTCTTCCATCTTCACACAGCATACTACTACTCATGACTGTAGCATATGCCTGTACTGGAGAAGCTGTATCTTCTAACAGCCTTCCTTGACCAAAATTGTCCTCAATACTACAGACACCATTCAGCTGATGTTCCATTATTACTTTGAATGTAAGCATGTTCCCAGATAACAGGAGAAAGAGCTCAGTGTTTGTTGTTTCCCTTCAGATCCCGTATCATAAGTCTCCTTTCTCACACATCTCATTTAATTTATCCTCAAAGTTAAAAACATTCTAAGACAACTTTCTTTTTCACTGCGGGCACATCCCCAGAGCTGAAATTTTATTCTAGTCATTGTCTACTTCTCCATACCTTAATGTGTTTGCAGCATCCATTCCACTCTATACTTTGTAGTTTCCTCTACAAACTTTGACCATGCAACGTCTACTTGCCAACTCACTAATCAATAAATCAACATGAAGACATTCTGATCATTGTTCTGAGTATTTACACCCATTAATAACAACACTTCATATCCTTCCTGCCAAAGAGTTCTTGAAAGATTTATCTTACTATAACAACACTGATGCCTATGTTCTTAAGTCACCTACAAAGCAAAAAAAAAAAAAACCACAAAAAACCCCACCAATCTTGGATTTTTGCCTTATGTTTTTATTTCTCTGAAGAATTCATATGACAAGGCTCTTCCCCTTTTAACTTCTACTTCAAAAGTTCAGGCTTTATCTACTCTGTCTCTTCAATGGTGCAGAAGAATCCATACAAATTGAAATGAAACTTAAGAACTGGTGAAGAAAAATTAGAATTACTTTTAGTCAGAGCATGTACTTTTTCTTCTTGTAAACAGCTTTAGTCTGAAAGACCCAAGAAGCATATTCTTGAAAACACATTGCATGCTAGAGACTTAGCACTGCTATCCCTTTATTGATCTGAGCAAACCACTCTTGAGTAGCTAAGAAACCTACAGCGCTACTTCCTAATTTTAACTATAAGACTCAACTCATATTCTTGATACATGTATCGCTTTTTTATTCTAGTCAACTTGAAAAGAAAAATTTAGTAAGTCTAAGTAAATTTCTTCCTCACAAATAAAATCACAGCTGTCTAGCTGCAGTACTAAATGAATCAATCAGGAAAAAAACCTACATGTACTACCACCTTATGTTTAAAGTACCATAAATTGCTGAGAGATCCCCAAACTGGGTTGTTCAGAGTCCAGGTAAGAGAGGTTGAAAGGCTACAGTAATCAATAACAGGTGACAATAATAATAGTAAAATTAAATTCAAAAGCTACCACAGGAGCTCCAGATCGAAGACAACAGAAAAACCAGAATAAAATAGATTGTAAAAACTTATCAGGAAACACAACCCTACCTGGCTGCAGGTTCAACAGACTAGAAGTCATGAATAAAAAAAGTCATGTGTTGTGCCTATTTAAATAAATGGTTTAGACACTCATCATTAAACAAGAACTAGTCTTATCTCCCAATTTCATCACTGACATCCTTAAAATTATTGATCCATTTCACAGACAGAACAAAAATTACTGCACTGGGCTCATAAATCACCATTTCCTATTCATTGCAGTGCTCATGACTTAAAATTAACAAAGCCTTATTAAGAGCAGTGGTTGCTGAGGCTTCTTTTATTAATCAAATTCAGAATAATGCACTAGCTGTTCCCATAATTTCAGTCTCCATCCCACTCTTGCTCTCCCGGAGAGCATGATTGATGGCAGTCTCACCGTTAAGTGCCCTTCATGATGATCGGGGAAATGTATGAATAAATATTCTGTGGCTACCAACTGCATTATGGAGTCACCCAGGAATTCCATCCTCTGGTTGTGGCCTCTGAAAAATGAGACATCAATGCAGCAAAATCAATAAGCACTCAGGGAGGAAAAAACAAAACCAGCATGCACACACAAATTAAAATAAAGAGTGATCTGAAAGTGAGCCTTGCTCATTTCCAAATGTATTTAAGACAATTTTCCAGTGTTAACCAGGTGAGATGAAAACACAGTTCATTACTGTTGTAACATCAACTTTCAGGGAGAAAGCAAATCATGGTAGCTACACAAACAGAATTATTAGATACATATCTGGGACTAATTGAAGGAGAAGAGCAGTCGACATCAAGCTTGTAATGGGATAAGGTCTCTATCTGCAACTTTTAAGAAAGTAAACTGATGAATGCAATGACTTCGATAGAGGAAAAAGATCTGTCCATTCACAAGAAATATCAGGGTTTAAACCCATACGAGGTCCTGGACTGGAACCACTGGTATGGCTCTACTGTTTGCTTTAAAATGCGGCCTGGCAGCTCTACACAACGCAGAACACAAGGGCTGCACTTGGACTAAAGAGCATGATTTTACTTCTTTCCCTCTGCCCAAATGTACCTCTAACTATGTTTTGCTACTGTCTCAGGACTGATATGCAAATATCACAGGAATATGCAGGAGGGAACACCAGGATGGCTCTATAGTCTTCTATAGTCTTTCCCAGGGTATCCACTACTGACTACTGTCAGACGGGATACTGAGCCAGGTGGGCTTGCAAACATAGCTGCTCTATTCTCTTCTGGAGAAGATATAACATCTAGAGTATGTTTACATATAAAGCAATCTGGGATACTAACAGAAGGACCAACAGAGCTGTATGAGGACTCTTGATGTGTACTCACAGAGTCAGATGGTTAAAGCCTACTGTCCTCAGAGTGAATGCACGTGCTAGAAGCCGAACATGAGTAAAGATGACTCCAATTGCATCCTCAAACTCTGTAAGCTTTTGAAGAACTGGAGAGGTCTCAATGAGTTGCCTGTCAGTATTGGACTCTTGCAGCTGTAAATAAAATTAAGCACAAATAATAACAAATTGACACTGTTTCAGAACTTTTCAGAGAAAAGCAAGTCTTCTGTAAACCAAGCGCAAAGAATACAGTGAACAAGTTGTTCTGTGGACAGCTAAATTGAGAAAACTCAGTTTCCTCTGGCTTTTTGTCTTGGATAATTACCACTCAAAGAAGATGTGAGCTCTGATGTATGCTTTCTTAACAGCTGAGGCATTTAGAACACATTGCTTATATGGTCTTGTCACTATCCGTGGATAGCATGGGCTACTTATTTTCACAAAACATGTACAACTGTACGTGTCTGAGTTTTCTAATATTATCACATTGTTTGCAACTGAGCAACAGATTCAAAAGTTATTAGAATAGGGCTAGCAGACTGACAGCACGTCAAGGTGAGACAAAACCCAAATCTATTTCTCCCACTTTCCTTCAGTATCAAAAATCAAGATTAAATACTTAGTATATGAAATTCAAAAGGACACAATAACACAAGAATATTAAAATTATCACTTTGGGTCAGTATCTTTTCTTATCAGTTTCTTGTCTGATGTCCTTGATACGGTGACACTGTTAAACGGCTTTCTGGTGCTGGGAAATGGCTTAAGCATTTCCTCCAGCCACTCTGGGCATCTGTCTTGTATAGCAATGTTTTAGAGGAGGAATCATCCAGATGAGGATGTCTAAAGGAAATAGCCACAGTTTTTTAAAGTGGCATTAAAATCTTTTTTTGTTTGTTGCCTGTCCCTTTTCTATTAATTGATTACATTCAATTTGTCTTTTTTCTTAAACAGTACTGAGCTTTCAGCTGACACATTCATAGAACTACACATCCTGGTACCAAAATCCCCCGCTTGGGTGATAAGGGTCAGTTTGGAGTTCAGTTATATGTGGAGCTGAGGCTGCTTTTTGCTTCCTCACGCACAGTCCTTTATATTTACCTATACAAAATTTCATCTGCTTTTTAACTCCATAGTTAGTCACTCTTGCATTCTTGCAATCAGACTGCAATTCTTCAGCCTGCTGTTGTCCCTGCTACCCTGAATAATTTGGTGTTGTCAACAAACTGCCACCTCACTGCTCATCCTCTTCCCTAAGCTGTTGATGTGAACAGCCTGTACTGCAGCAAAGACCCCTAGGGAAATCTGCCAGTGATCTCCATTCCTTGTAAGATGTGGTCATTTCACTCCTGTTCTCTATTTCTTTAGATCTTGTAAGGACTGACAGTATTCACTGGGGTTGATTTTTTTTTTCTTCCTTTTTTTTTAAAGAAAAAACCAATCCATTTTTAAAAGCCTTTTGTGAGTGTCTTTCCAACAGAAACTCTTAGGAAATGCAGCAGACGGTATCACCTACATCATCATATGCTTTTTTGTCTGCTCTAAAATCTCTTACTCATTTGTGAGGCAGAACTTGTCTTTACATGTTGATGCTTTCGAAAGAGATCACATTTATCCAGGTGACCACTAATACATTTTTTTCCCAACACTATTTCTACTGACTTCATTACTGCCAAGTAACAGGATTACAGGCCTTCAGTTCTGTGTATCTTACCCAGAGCTTTTTTTCTTTAATTGGCATCTCATTTGTCATATTGTTACGGTGACTTTTAGTAATTTTAAAAACCGCCATTTTTCAGGCTGGCTGTGCCCAAAGGCCAACTTGAGCAGCCTGTGTTTCCCCTATTGGCAAGGAGAGAGCTAGGATGGCTTCTGGGACATGGAAAAAAATAAATTTTCATCACACAAGGTAGCAGCAAGAAATTATAAGCTGCATACAATGACTGTCTCCAATCTCTAAGCAGAGTCCAAGAGTTCTTTACGAAAGCAGAGATAAAAAGGTTAAAATAAAGTAAGAGGAAAGAAAGAAATGCAGAATAAGAAGAATTTTCTTGGGAGCTTGTGCCACCATGCAGGATAGCTGGTGCTGAATCTCAAAAGTTTATCTTCCCATGAAGACTCTTTCCTATATACACTCACAGAGAATTGGTCATAAAAACGTTTCATGTGCAGTGATTTGTTGCCAAAGATTTTGCTATGTATCCATTGCAAAATCCATACGAATATATGAGACATTTCAGATGGAGGCCTCAAAGTGGCCTCCTGCTGGAAAGGCGTGCTAATAAAAAATTTCAAAGGAGTCAAACTGACTGCACAAAACATGAAAGACTTGGTTGGACCAAAGAAACCTCTCAGATGTTCACACAACCCTGCAAACCATACTGACTGACTGGATGACAATTTGAATACAGCTATTCTTGCAGCACCCCTGCACACTCGGAAAACGCTACCATGATTGCTGTGAAGACAAGGAGTACAGTGCAGAGAGGCTCTGTGACTTGCTGTATGTCTCCCTCAGAATTCAGTCAGTGAACAAGGACTTGGAAATCATTCTCCCAACTTCCAGCCTTGTAAACTAACAACTCGTGAACCTGTTTCGTCCAATACATGGAGGATAAATTAGCCTTCAGACACCTTCATAATTTCAGTGTTTACTTGGTATTAAAAGCTACTAGAATCACTGAAACAACCATGCTATCATTGCACACACACAATAAACCCCACCTCGCTCAGAATCATACTCTTATTCCATTCAACTAATGTGCCTACCTACTATTAAGGTTTCAGTCTTAATTTCAGGGTAACAAAATACATACATAGATTGGTTTTGTACCCTTTTTTGCCCAACTTTGAGAAGATGAACAAGAAGCTGCCAGAATGTTACCTCTCACTAGATTTATCGTATAAGCACAGTTATAGATCAAACATGAGCCAGGGAAAGGTGAATGATTAATCCTCAGAGAGGCAGACACTCACTATTTAGACCCTCCACACCTGAAATCAAACACAAAGGCAAATATACTTACTCCTTTGGCTACTTTTTAGCACAATTTCTGAGACGTCATTACAATGAAAACCTATGGAAAAGCATCCCTGAAAATAACAGAGCTATGAAATTTATTACAGAAAGGGATACACTTACTTGGAGTGGGTGTAGTGGATAATTAAGCCATACATCCCGCAGGTCCTGCAAACATTGAGAGATGCCTTTAATGCTCAAGGGAGTCATTTAACAAATTCCACAGTACTAAATAAAATGTCATTACTTGAAATACTGAACTATTTCAGATGCTGACTCTGCTTATTGCAAATTCAATAGTGCTGGCAAACTAATTTTTAAAATCATGTATTTGCTGTTCAAACTGCCTGTAGTTCTCCCAATTAGCTTGTGTCAAAGAGGTGGAAAAATCCTTGAACCAAATAAAAAGTGGTTAAAGGAAGAAAAAGATTTGTTTAAGCCTCAGGACTAACTTTATTTGCAAGTACTCCTCAGTAGCAAGTTTGACTTCACCAAAGGCAAGGACTAAAAAAAGAGAAAAAACCACTTATTTTCTTCTATTTCATATAGGCTTCCTTCACTACAGGCACTGAGCAGCAAATAAACACTGAGTTACAATAGGCTTCAAAACACTTTTATTTCTAATAAGCTTTGTCATTTCACAGACTCAGAGATGTTCGAGAAGGAAAACACTGTATAATTCATCCCCTCACCACTGTCACGTGTATTGTCCCAGCAGCATGTACTGGTTACTTTCCTTAGTTATTATATGGGATAAATTCCAACTAACGGTGATCTAAGATACAGTATGCAAGAACAGATCAATCTTTAATTATACAATCAGGTAAACGTTGGATAAAATCCCCTGTATTTTTTTCAAAGATACGTTTAAAACTTTTAGGGGTGGGAGGATTCAACTGATGAAACAGGAATAGTCGCTCTACATGTGCATCATTTCCCTAAATCATGATGTCTGGATCCACAGCATCCCTCTCTGTTGTGAGAGCAGCACTTTGAATGGGTGTCTGCAGGTTTCCCACACCACCTGTCCTTCCCTAAGCCAACCAAACAGCACACCTGAGGAAACACTAATTTTTTTTTGCTTGAACCAGTGCAGCTTCCTAAACACACTATGGTACATTCACTTTCCAAGAACTAAGTACAACAGGTGTATTCCTATTTATTTTTGATTCTCAAGTAAAACAAGGGACAAGAAAGTGTGTCTTCAGTTATTTTTAAAATGAAAATCAAATCATATAAATACCTGTTCATTGAAGAGTAAACGTCCAAATAATTGTTTTGCTTCTTCTAAACTTCCCTCTAGATAAACAGCTCCTGCATGAGGGGATCAACATGTCAAAGGTCAATAATGCACTGGTACTTAGAAAATTACTATGCACAGGAAAGTCAAAGATCTCTGCCTTCATCTCCAATACATTTATTTTTTAAAAGCATGCTTTCTTGTAGTAACATCTGTTATTTGAGAAATTTAAAGCATGTTAAACACCAACATAAATCAATGGTCATAAAATACACAAAAACCCCTGAAATAGTTAAATCAGTGAAAATGACATACCCAAGACCAAAGTTTAAATAAATTAGGCTATAAGCAATCTATTTCTAAAAGCAGTTTCCACTAATTAGCTAACTATACCATATATGCAGATAGTGAAAGCCATGAAATACATTTCAATAGCTAGCAAATAATCTTCATTAATTCTGTACTTTTAACAACACTACATTCTGCATATAAATGATGTGTCAGGACTGTTCCAAACCTCAATATCTCCCCAATATCACAATAATACATTTTCTGAACTGGTAACTCCACCTCTGCATCTCTCAATTTCTGGAGATTACAGGTTTCTGTGGGGTTTTTTTTGTTTTTTTGGGGTTTGTTTTTTGTGTTGTTGTTGTGTTTGTTGGTTTGTTTTTTTTTTAAACTGCATATACAGCCCTCACTAGCCCTCCACATGCCCCTTATAAAAAGCTCTGCAAAACTTGTGCTAGCATATTATATTTTTTGTGTGTACCATATGTACTCTGTATATGCGCAGGCACTTTATAAATTCAGTATCAACACTTTGTCTTTTGATACTCTTTACAGGATGGCTTCTGAAAAGTTCAAACTAGTTCTTGTAAGTACATATGTACAAAAGCAAAGGGAATACAGAGCAACATGAAGAACACAGAGAAAGGGAGTCGATGTTCCCACATACAGGGAGAACATATTTTGCCTTGCTGTGTCTTTCCCCTCCTCTTTCTTTTTAATTCCTTACTAGGTCAACTAGGTACTTTGGACTCTTTGGAGAACAGTTTGGGGGTTTATAAGACTATCTTGCCAGAGGCATATTATGAGAGCACAGAACTTCAAACAGGTCCTAGGCAGCCTGCTTGTACTTTTGCTTATTATCTTCATCACAGTGAAGAAGCACCAGACTTTTACAAAGGTTCTCGAGTTCCAGACCCCACATATACTTTTATAGTCCCTCAACAAGCTCTCAGATTTTAGCTATGGCCCTGACAAAATCTTATTATTGCTCAATTAACTTTGTGAACAACTTTGTATTGGAGGTTAAACAGCAAGCCTGCTCTCTTAGCAAATCTCAATGCTTGCCAAATAGTCCTCATCATTACATGCTAGACAAGCTGAAGTTTATGAACAAAGCCACAGATACATATCTAGTGCTCCTTCTCTGTTTGTTTTTTATTTTTAAATTAAAGATCAAAGCACTCATGGATAGCAAAATAGAGTTTAAAAGGCAAATCTTATTTCTTGATAAGATGAAATGCAATTTGGCCCGAGGCAGAATGCACAGAACTGTTGACATCTAAGCCAGCTATGATCTATTTTTCAAAGCAGGACAAAATGCTTTAGGAGCCTGTGTACTGTGTAAAGACCTGGATCAGGGCTAAACCATTCCCATAGCTAATATCATATACGGTACAGATGGATGAATACGAAGCCAAATCAGTGAGATTTAGCTTGCTTTCTGTATTCAAAGAAGTTTTATAAAAATATGCTATATCCACACAATAGAGCTTGTGTGGATATAACAGATCATATTTCCACCTTTCTGCTTGTTTATTTGGTAACCGTGGTCAGGCAGTCCTGATTTCTTCTCCAACATAAATTTATTGACTAGCACAGCCAGTCACTGATCAGCATCTTAATGCTCGACAGCAAGCTTGACACAACTCCCCTTCATCCTCAGCTAGAGGGTTTTGGTAGCTTTATTACACCAGCCATGGCATATTGCCATACTTGCCATTTGTAAGGAAAATGCAAAGGCCAAAAAATATTTATTTACTTGACAAATGCCACATTTAATTCACACGAGAAGGCTAGTAGGGCACAGAGGAAGCAGGCTGGTGACTTGGTTGGGAGCACTCGGTGCGTTCAGAAAGCAAGCTGCAGAGTTTAAAATTCAGGGCTGAGATGGGACTCCACATTTGAGAGGTCTGTGCAAGCACGACTGGAAGCAGTGAGGCTGCACTTTTCCTGCCAGGCCATGGTGACTGAACTAGTCCCCCCAGACAATTGCAGGTGGCACACCATGGTGGCGATGAGAGGCGGAGTTCTGGGGTGACAGAGAAAAGTGCTGCGCCATGATGCTATGAAATGGGTGCATCTTCAGTGCGTGGGAGGCAGGATATGGAAGATGAGATTTTCATTGTAATACTGCACACTCATCATGTTATTCACGTGGTCTACGTGCAGGAGACGAAGCTTTACTATTGCCTATCCTTACTAACAGTGCTCAATGCAGACCCGTGTCTCCTCCATCACAGTCAACAAGGCATGTAGGCATATTAAAACGTAACTGTCTGCACACACAAATACACATGCTTTACCTATTAGGGCTTCAAAGCAGTTGGCCATGGCATGGCGGAGATCCGATTCCCTGCAAAGGTCTGGACCATGAGCATAAAGCATAAATCGATCTAGTTCCAGCTTCTGCAGACAATATGTGGAAAGAGTTAAAAACGTGGCTTTAGAAGTACAAGAGTACCAGTTCTAGTCACTAGAATTCAATTACACTATTATTATGCAGCAAGTGGGTTTGAGGGAACTTTAAAGCTTTTCTCCATAGTTTCAGTTCAGACACAAGCTAAAATTAGAAAACTTCATAGTTGTTTATCAGATGCAAGCAACTAGAGTGTGATAGTGTGGGAAAGCTAGGAATTATCAAACCAAATTGTCAAAGGAAGCCAGATCAAAACATGTTCTTAGTGAGATTGAGGAATGAGTTCAAGAGGGCTGAGGGTGTGACCCAAAAATAGCCCAATACTGGCTGGTGCAATGTGCTGTTTCTTGCTGGTAGTTTGCCCTCATGTGATTTGCCTCCAGAAATGCCTAAGAGACATTCAAAGGGAGGGAAGTTACCACTGAGGGAAAAGATTTGCCTACAAGAAAAAGATAAAGTAGAACAGTGAGGAACAGGAACTCTGGTAGACACAATCCATTGAACATCTGGCTTTTTCCTCGAAGAGTGTCAACAGGTGGCAGTAACAAAAGTCTCCGGGTACTGCAAGCAGAACATTGATATTTTAATCCACAGTGCCATCTAGTTTTCTTTTTCCTTTCAAATGTGCATCATTAACATTCACCTGTTGCCTAAACCATAGTTCTGCTCGCCAGTCAGAATCTCAGGTAGTGATTCAGGTATCTTATATATTATATGATCATTCTGCTACAGAAATGCAGGCAAGAGCTACTAGATTCTCTTTACATATTCACCTTTTTGACACAAACCATTATTGCGATTTTTAAAGAAGAGATTTGTGTATCTTGCAAAGTTCATATGAGAATAGGTTCTTCCCAACTGGGTGTAAGTTTCTACTGACTAATTTCTCATTAACTTTCAACTTCATCCTCCTGAAGTATATTTAAGAGGTAAAAGTGGAGACTAACTTGTTTGAGGTGTGTGGTTTAGATACCTTTCAATTGGAAAAAAAGGAGTCTTCCATTTTCAATGAATGAGAGCCTATTCACTGCTCCAGCACACAGGGAATTACCATTTATGATGTTCCATAGCACTTTATAAAGTGCAAGGATCACTCAGACTCGACATAAGTGGGGCACTCATTGCTTTATATCAAATTTAAACTTCTTACAGATTATTGTCATTTGTTCATGTTAACAGGTGTTGTTTGGGTATCAGTGTGTTTCCCCCACCTCCAATGGCTTATGTTCATTTTTGGAGCTTGCATTCAGCTTTTTTTGCATGTGTTTTGCTTCTCATTTCTTGATCACAACACATTTCAGATTATTTTTAAAATTTCTGCTACAGCATCCCTTAGAAGCTACGGACATTTATCGTTTGATCCTCAATTAAAACAGCATTCCACATGTACAAGAGAAGTTGAGGAGCTGAGAATTATATTAAGTAAACTGAATGCAACATGACATTGCAGGGGATAATTAAAGGCGATGAAACCAGGAACATCATGCAAAATATACGAGAGGAAAAAAGTTAAGTTGGGAAATCAGGAATATACAGGTATCTAATATTTAGAGTTGTATCTAATAAATAAATACAGTTCAAAAAATGTTGCAATAAAAATTTTCAAAAATTGCCCATGTACAATGATAAAGGCTGTGAACAGATCTTTAAGAATATCTGAGCTTTCCTGAAGCAGGTTTTAAAATAGTAACATGAATTCAAATATCAGGTAGTTCAATACCAATTTTGGTCTGATTGAAACATTTCAGTCAATTCATGCTTATCTACATCATTAAAGAAAGCTTTGGAGGAAAATGATTGTGTTCACTCACTATCCTATGCCTCTCCTGAGAGCTGATCTAAAAGATGACATGTTAGAAATCATGCAGTTTTTGCCAAAATCTCAAGATTGGATATGCTTGTTTAAATTATTGCACGAATATGAACAGAGAAGATTAAAAGAGCACCTGAAAACTATCAGCAGTACACAGTGGACCTATGTGTGCGCATACGTGCATGCACAGCTTAATACATTACATCAGTAAGTCTCACTGTTTTATAAAAAACGTGCTAACAAAATCAAGTATGAAGGGAATACGAACAGAGATTTAATCAACTTTCTGTATCATATTCTCACCCCCCCAACATATAAAAAGCTCTGTCATTCACAGAATTAAATGAAATAAAATAAAATTCAGAGGCATCTCAATTTTTCCCATGAGATAAAACAACTTTTCACCAAAAGCGTAACATATTTCTCTTTCACAGTTCACAGTGAATCTGAAAATGACTGCCTAGGTTAGGGAGCAGACAAAACTATATTTTCCCCACTTTCTCTACCACTTGCTGTCATATTCTCCCTAAATATTCTATCAGGAAGTCCTTTTATAAACAAAAGTTTGTTTCTTTTTCTTCACTAAATTTCTACTCTCAGTTTCACTACCTGTGCAATTTAAAGGTAAATATAGACACGTCTTCAACATAAGCATCCTAAAAACTTACCCTTTTGCCTACAAAAATTACTCCTCCTAAAAACATGCTTTACAGAAAACTCTAAGTCCTACTTCATCTTTAAACTCTACTTGCAAACTGAAAAGAGTTCCCGTATCTCAAATCTTGTACAGAAAACACGGTAAAGACACCGATGTTCAAAGCAGGCAGATCCCTCAAGAACTAACCCACGCACTAACGGTATCCTACCTATGGGTGCCAAACACAGACGTATAAAACTATACCTTAGCCAACATGGCCAGGTGTTGGTTCTGTACGATGGCAGTGCGGTACGTAGCTAATCCTCCTTCCTCCAGAGAGGGAAACAGGTAGTACAAGTGGACACTGGCAAAACAAAAATCAAATAAGATGCTGTCAGAATTTGGTAAAAAATGAACCACATGTGCCTCTTGGGAACTAAGTCTTGCCCTCAGACCCTAGCTGGTAACACAGGCCCCTTCCCAAGATGGCAACTAAGCTTGAAGTAAGGTAAAGAAACAAACATTAAACCAATGTTCAATAATATTTGACTGGATGGCATTGGCAGGAAGGGAGGAAGAATGCTGTTTCTCTCTCTGCTGGGAGGCACATAACTTCTAAATCCCTGCAACGCCATGCAGTTCCCTCAGGACCTGCAGGTTTCCAGCCCCCAGCAGTGGTGGGCTGGTGAGGCTGGCACCCACCACGTGCTGAGGAAGGGTACACAAGGGTACCAGCAGCCTTAAGGGAAGCACAAGGGTACCAGCAGCCTTAAGAAACGCTGTGCCGCAGGTACCAAGTGCATCGAGATGAGACTACTGACTCAGGCTGGGCACCGCTCGCGAGATTTGGTTTATAAGTTTCTTACAGTACTTTAATAGATGCTAACAGAGCCAAAGAACAGAACTCAACAGTCTAGATTTATCAAAGGTGCAAAGTAATTAATACCACAGAAAGAAGAAAAAAGAGTAAAAATCACAAGCTTTCAACTGCCTTTAATGATATTTGTCATCATGCAAGTAAGATACTTCATAAAACAGAAACAAACCCCAAAAAAGTAATTCAGTGATCCAACCAAGATCTGAATAAAGGATAAATGATTCTGAATATCTTCATACATGATTATCTAACCCAAGTCAGAAAGAAGTTAATACAGAGAGGGTTTTCACCATCCCACAAAATAAGGCTGTGGATGGCATTAATTACTGAAATATTTTATTAACCCAGTACACGGGGAAAAAAGTGCAGATGGATGTAAGATTATTTAAGGGCAAAAATTGCTATAAAACTTAGAGGCAAGCTAATCAAGCATCATAATTCACAAAAGCAGAGACCTGAAGTCAAGAGAGTTAGAGTAAAAAATTCAGACTTCAATAGGTGCTTACATGCTCTATTGAACAGTAATGCAGCTGAAGTTTTTTCTGAATTGAGACAAAAGTTAGCTCAGAAAGTCAACTGATGGTTGATGAACAATGACAATGAAAAATGCAAGACATTTTCATCAGCAAGTCTTCCATCTTATCAGCCTGTACTGTTGTATGAGAGAAAAGGCCATGGGTTTTAAGGGCAGTAGAGACCTTTATAGACTAATAGCTTTGAATACCGAGTAGCTAATGGCTAGTAGAAACTAGTAGAGAACGGGGCAGTTTTGTTATTCATATAACAAACTTGCTTAAAGAGAAGCTTCACAGTAAACAAGACCAGTTGCCTACAAAACACAGCAGAACAAAGCAGCTGAAAATAGATTATAATTTCATTTTGTGCTAACCTCTAGTACTCAGGTAAGAGATGTCAATGGAGGTAATCGATAATATCCCTGTATTGTTCACTGATTTCAGAATACTCAAAACAGACCAAAACTGCAACAATTTTTGATGATCCATGTTTTTCTGTTATTACTTCTAAATAAATTACATTTGTGCTCAACTATTTTATTTACATACAGACATTATGGAAGCTACAGCCCTAATAACTAGAAATGCAAGAACTGCAACACAGTCAATATTACCAAAAAATGCTTTTCACTTGCAGCTAAGATGGTGAGGGACTGTTTATCAGGGAGTGTAGTGATAGGACGAGGGGTAATTGGTTAAAACTAAAAAGAGGGTCAATTCAGATTGGATGTTAGAAAAATTCTTTCCTGTGAGAGTGGTGAGGCAGTGGAACAGGTTGCCCAGAGAGGTTGTGGAGGCCCCATCCCTGGAAGTGGTTAAGGCCGGGTTGGATGGGGCTTTGGGCAACCTGGTCTAGTGGAAGGTGTCCCTGCCCGCAGCAGGGGGGTTGGAACTAGGTGATCTTTAAGGTCCCTTCCAACCCAAACCATTCTATGATTCTATTAACTAGAGAAAAAACCCATAGAAACAAAAAGGCATGCTAAGAAAAATATAGGGGTTTTTTTTTAAAAAAAAGGGTACAAAGTTCAACTTGTCTATAGCTGAATAATCTCTAACTCCAACCAACTTAAAACTGCACTCCATGAAACAAGGTCTAGTTTTTCATTTTGTCATCTTCCTTGCTGTATCACCAGCACTGAAGGAATTTTCAAGAGAGCTGTGTGCAGATGTGCAGCTCTAAGTATCAGATGGGACTGCAAACATACACAGTCATAAAGCAGACACTGCAAAGCTTAATAAGCCCAACTATATGACAATAACATACAAAGGTGAGGACTGTTCAAGAATTCCCCATTTACCTCGTTAAGAACTCCACCACAGCATCTCCCAGAAATTCTAAACGCTCGTTGTGGTTAATCCTGAAAAAGGCATTTTAAGGTTTATTATCAGCTAAGTAACACGATAGTTATTTACACAATACAATTAAAAAAGAATAAATCAGAGTTGAGTGCTTATCAGCCATGACAGACATTCTTGCAGACTCCCCCACGCTCTCTGGGTTACAATCCTTTCCAAACCGGAATAACAACTACATGAATCTTGAAACTCAGGACTGACACCACCACCTTTGAAATTTTCCTATATTCCATTCTGAGCTATCGTCAGAGCTTAACAAATAGAGAAAGGAAACAGTTCCACTGATTGGCACTAAGGTCAGGTTTCTTTGACCATCAGAGGGCACCAGGTGATTGAAACAAGCAGCCTGCCTTCAGTCTTGTGCATGCAACTAGGGAAATGCACGTTATTAACGTCAACACCTGCAGGGTGTGATGACTGGGCAACAGATTTGTTGGTATGGCACAGCTAAAAAGGAGAAAGTATTTTCATTTTTCATAGCACCTTTAAATGCCCTGTTTTCTGTAACTTTCTTTGAACTCAAAGGAAAAAATGGCTGTACAAGAAGATGCATTCAAAGATGCCATTAAGCTAGTAGAGCCTTGTATTTCCTGTGTTTTCCTTTTCTTCTATCACTGCTCCTGATTCTCCTTTGTTTTGCACAAAGTTGCCTTTCCTCCAAACACTCTGCCTGCTTATATAACAAAGGACTAACAGGACACAGTAGCTGAAAAAGAACCTGAGTTTGTCTTCAAATATATACAAATTTCTGCTCTACATATCAAAGCATAAGTAGCACCATTTTGACTTCATGCATGATTGTACTAGAATCAAGGCCATTGCCACAGGATTTTTTTTTTTTTTTAATCCAGAAGATCCTTCTCAAGTGTTTGACAGCTTTTATTGTAATTTGCACTCCCCCAACAATTATATAGTCAGTCTAATTTCTGAAATAGCAGGCCTTTGTTATGGGCTGAAAGAATACAAGTGCCTCTACTGTGTAAAACAAAGTGTGAGCAAAACTACAACTACTCTGTTTAGCAGCACAGTGGAAGACACGGATCTCAGAAGGGGTATTTTATATTTGTGCGTTATTTTGTGAGAATTAATGCAATTTAGCCTTATCTCACATTATCTTACAAGGGCCAAAATAAGCTTGAGGCTGACTCTTCAAAGAGAGGCATGGTCTAAGCTGAAACAGCATTTGGGGAACACTGCAACAACAATTTATTCAGAACTCATCTTCTCCTATTCCCGAGCTTCCTCCAAAATGATGCCTCTTAAGAGGCCCAGTTATTGCACTAATTAAAACACACTCTGCCCTCTAGTTCACACATTTAGGAGATTTCACATGCATTGCTTCTTGCATTTGCCCTATAAGCTTTGTTTATTCACTTTGGCTAAATATGGTGCTTGTGGCTATAAAACCACATCTTAAACATTTATTTATATAGAATTCTTAGTGGTCATTTAAGGATTATTACATTACAACAGTAATGTTTTTTACATATGTCTTTAAATTGGACCAGTAAATCAAAGAAGCCCACGTTCAGTATCATGCTCGTGTTAACAAGGTGCAATGCCAGGAAGGTACCACAGTGAGGAAACGTGATGGAGAATTCAATTTATAGCAATGATAGCAGTAACAACGAATCTCATTTTTCAGTCTGCAGAGAGCAAAAAGGTAGTCTTTTAGTCCTCCTCATTTCAAGGATAAACAAGATGATAGAATTATCTGTTAGAACCTTCCTCAGGAATTTTCTGCAGGCATGACCAAACATTTATTATGTCACGGCTAATGGAGGTTCAGCACATCTTCATAATATAAAAGTCAATTCGAAAGGACTTTTCATTTCAACTAAACTATACACCAAAGCTGTTGCTGACAGTAAGTTGGGTGTTTCTATCAAACATCTCCCTCTGCAACACCTTCCCTACTTGCAAACAGTTATTTTCATTACCTGGAAGGAGCTGGATCATCCTGTCCTAAACGGGACATAATATTTATCAGGGTGTTTATCCCTAGAAATATAAACAATGCACTATTAAATAAACAACCACTAATTCAATTTGAATAGGCTTAGAAAAAAATTATTCAAAATGTTACTTTAATTGCCGCACACAAGATCATCCTGTTATTTACAGGGTTTACTTACAGCAAGTATAATCCTTACAGATGCTCTCTGCCTGACTGCAGTTCCATTACAGTATTATTGTATTTTTGCATTCAGAGCACCAGATAAAAATACCACCTTTGTGTGAGAAAGACATTCCAAACATTACATCAACAATGAACAATTTACTTCATTACAGCTGAATATACTTTTAAGGGGTAAGGAATATTCTGCAGCAGATAGACCACATTTTCACATTAAGACATTTTTACAAAATGTCCTCCAGTTTGCTCACCACATTGAGCAGCAAATTAAGAAAACAATACTTGTCAAAAATTAAAGAAAATACATCCTCCGATTTATTATCCTTGCTTTTTCTCAGCTCTACTTGTTGACTAACTTGAAAAATCCGGTCTTTTAGAAAGATCTCACTGGTGTCTGTGTATAACCACCAAAATTCTCCACTGAACGGATCTCTCAGAAGAACAATGGCCAACAAAATAATAACAGACAAAAAAAAATTCTTACTGATTAAGTGTGAGGTGAGAGAAAAACAGTAGCAGCGTCACAGCATACCTTTTTTCCTCATGTGCATATGGTGAACTTTCCTATCTCCATACTTTGGCTGTCTAATCCCACAGTTGGATAAGGAATTTCTAGCATGATCCGGATTCATTCCAAAGTTTAAGTGATGGCTTGGATGAGTCATGGCAAGCTATAATGTAGCACATACAGGAAAAAAAAAAGGCTTAGATGTATTTTTGCAAACGTAAAAAAAATAATCTTGGACTAGTAGCTAATAATTGTTATTTTTTAGTTTGAAGAAAGGCTACAAAGTGATGTCATCAATTAGTAGCTTGGTTCCAGCAATTTAAATGCAGGATGTACTACTTCAAATGTCAGAAAGAAGCAACATTTATGCCCAATCATCAATTTAACTAATTAACTTTCAACATTTTTTTTTCTTTAAAGAAAAATTAGTTTAGAAGAGAAAAAGCATGAACTGTCAATTTTCTCCAAGAGTTTTGCTTACAAGCTTTGCTGACCTGATTTCAATACATTTGCTTATTTAAACATATATTCACTCTAACATTGCAGCATAATCACATTAAAAATATGAACAACCACAAGAATTTCTCAACCATTCATGTATTTGATTTAGGTTATTTAAGTATCTATAAAACTTTCCTACTTCAAAAAGCCAAACAACAAACAAGTATATTATCTCTGCCATGGTTATTCTCAGAACAACTCTTTCTGTCTGGACTATACAAGGCCACTCTTCAACTATAAGTGAACAGCAACAGCAGGATTGGTCTTCTGTTTTAAATTTGTACCATCTAGCATTATCAAAAGATTACTTTGCTGCTGACATCACCACTACAAAAATGGTGGTGAACAGAACGACTACTATTATGACTTCATCCTGCAAACTCATGCATTTTCTCTTACTTTACACATATGCACCTAAAAATATTATGCACATATAATTGCATGTGTACACACACCCTTTATATAAAACAAGAGACACATTAGCAAATTTAAACTGCAGAAAGTTAGTTCTGAAATGCTTGGAGGACTGGTGCTGCAGACTGTGAGCAAAGACATTCCAGTAGTTCATTCACACATTGCCTGTAGCTTTCCAAAGACTATTTTAATTATTTTAGAGAGTAAAATTATATTTAATCAACAGTAAGAACACCAAGTCCTTTTTAATTCCTTGCTAATATTAATAAGCTTGTCATGATCGTGCATTCTCAACTTCTGCTCTATCTGAACTGGATGACACATTACAACTTCTCTGAATAGTTAAATTACTGTAGTCTTTCTTGCCCAGTTTGTACTTTAAGAAGAATATATCATGATGAAACAGGTAAAAATCAATACAAAACTATACATCTAGTATTGCCTATGCTTAAGTAGGTGACCGGTACTATATACATTTTTAAAAAGCTCTTCCTTTTTTGGAAAAAAATTGTAGGCTTTAAATAAATTTGAATAGGGATCAAACACTTAAAAGTACTTTTGTTATAACTAAACATTAATTTGACTAATGCTAACACACTTGATTTTATGCTTTCTTCCCTTTTCAATTGCGATTTGCTTTTTGGTTTCTGTGTTTGGTCTCAACATTTTGAAGACTTCCATCAGTGCATTTTTAGCCTTTTTATTAAATAAAACTAAGGCAGTCTGCAAACAACCAAATCCCACAAGATGCCCAGTGTTCAATGTAACTTTCAGTAGGACAAGCCCTGGAAACCAACTTCTAGAGAATAGAGAAGCTATGATAAAAGATTTCTCCGTAAGCCTCTGCTTCAAGTAGTTTGGGAGTAAAGTCTCCATACGCATACAGAAACTGCATGTTTTGAACTTAGAAAAAAATTCACCATTCTCAGCTCCAGTCAGTGGAGATACATGATGCTTATTTCAGGGGGGAAATCCTGAACAGAAGTTTCCATTTCCCTTCAGAAAAACTTATAACTTGAGAAAAAAATATAAGGGGAAAGGTGCCACCATGCCAGGATTCAGCCTTCTGGAGATGATCAATTCCAAATATGCACTTACATAAATGACTGGTCATGTGACATGGATACATTTAAACAAGTAAATTCTCCCCTCCAGTCCCTGCCCTTGTTTGTAAATGCAAAACTTTCATCATGTACTTGTGGAAACCAAGAGCTGAACATAGTTTGCAAATTCCTTTTCACTAGCTATAAATGCAAAATAAAATGGCAATGCTCAAGTTACTCTTTTTTAGAACAACAGACTGTAAAAGGAAGAAGCAAGGCACGTACGCTCATCTGCAGAATAGCATCATATTCTTCACAAATATCTAAAAAAGAACTTATGCAGAAATAATAAGCAATGTACCTGAGAGACTTTTCAGGAAGCATATTTTTGTCTTTCTACACATTACAAGCAAATCCAGATTTATCATGAGAGCAAAGGTAGGTGTATGCCTACCTGCACAATAGATGCCTCTATTTAGAAATCTCTTGGGATAACTGAAACATTTGAAAGATCTGCAGTGCAAGTAATCAAGTATGTCCAAGCTGTAGCAATGCAGTGCATTTCTCAAGTTTGTACACCTGGCAGGATTATTGATAAACTCAATAATATTAGCAAGACAAACCAAAAAGTAGTTTATTTTTTCATATCTTACCTGCAGCAAGCATCTATCTTGAAAAGTGTAGCCTATCAATTTGTCCAAATGCATCAGACACTGATGGTAGCGGACATGGTGGGTGAGGACGGGAAGCATCATTGCGTGCTAAAACACAATTGCAATAAGGCAAAGCATTTCACTTCAGTGTACAGAGTACTCAGCTGACTAAACTATAAATACGAACATTTTCTATTTGTCACAACACCGAGTTTTACTGTTTTGGTTTAAATGAGAAAAAAAAATAATCACGGTTTCCCAACCTTCATCATCAGAACACTTAATCAGATTTGTCCACCTGCATCATCACAGGGGGGACACAGCCCCACCCAGACTAAATGAATAAATACATAAACCCAGTCTTCTACTTATTAATATGTTGAATGAGGTTAGAAAAAAATGTCTGGTCATCACTAACATCAAATTTCAATAAGCTGTGACTGAATAGAATGCAATATGTTTGTACCTTCTCATTAACATCCTATAGTTTTAGGTTAGTACCAAAGATTAAGAAAGACCATTTTCCCTCTGCCTCATAACGTTAGGGAAGAAGCACTTTATACTACTTTAACCAGCTTTCACCAAGTAACAGTAGCTACTTGATTTTCAAGCACAGTTATTAGTGACTTGTTTCATTTCCTTCCGAGGAAGAATTAAGGGCTTTTTGAAATGCTGTTGTCTGGCATTTGTTGGCTTAATGTGCTAAAAAAATATCAGAAATGTTACTGTTTGATCATCTAGGAAACAGATAATGTTTTTCTGTTGGGGAAAATTTCAATAAAAATTTAACTCTGTTGTGACAACAAAAGTCTCCCTCTTTCAGTGTTGTAAAGCAGGAATTCTACACTAATATTGACTTTGGATGGATCTGGGTTGAAATAAGCAAGTAGTACAGTTTATCAGTACAGTAGCAGAGAAAGTATATCAACATCAAAAATGGTGTATAAGAGAGAAAAGTAAGAGCTACAGGAGAAAAAGAGCTACACGAGAAATATCAGTATTTAAAGAATTTTACGCACATGACCTTTTTTGCGACACTGAAATAAAATTTCAGCTCTTCTAATCATTCCTATTAGTTACATGACATGAATATATTTGAAAGAATGATGTGTTTTCAGGGAATCAAAATCTTATCACCATTAATTTCAGAAAGAGGAATGTGTAGGATTACAGAAGATAAGTGCATAGTGTGGAGAGATGCAAGAAAAACAAGCATACATAGCAAATGACAAATAATTTATGGAATAAATATGGATTTCTGCATGTCATTAAAGACCAGCAGAAAATACAAACTGGAGAATGTTACAAGATTGATAAGTTAAGAATAACCAATGGCAGTACTTCCTGTTTCAGTAAAAGACTGCAAAGTTCTTGAGAACTGAACACATAGCTGGAAAGTAATCATCGAATTGTTTAGGCTGGAGAAAACCCTTAAGATCATAAAGTCCAACCGTAAACCTAGCACTGCCAAGTTCACCACTTAACCATGTCCCTAAGCACCACATCTACATGTCTTTTAAATACGTCCAGGGATGGTGACTCTACCGCTTCCCTGGGCAGCCTGTTCCAATGATTGAGAGCCTTTAAGGTGAAGAAAGTTTTCCT